TAGAGGAAATTATCAGCATCTAGTCTTATTTGAAAAGCCAAAAAAGCCAAGTCAGTTTTAATGAGACTTTTCACAGTCACAAATAATGGTCCAGATTTAGAATGGTGCTGAGCAGTTACGTTTTCCTGAGCTTTCTAAATCAGCAATCAGGATCTGCCTTGTTTAAAGGAGGTCCAGGAAAAATTAAATACATCTTTCTCATTTTTCAAGCAAATGTATTTTTAACATGAATTTACTTTTACTGTGAAAACAACAGTTACCATGATAACATGTAAATTGAAAGCATAAAGACAGTCAGACAACAGGTTAAGTATAGTAATTTAGAGAAGATGTTAATTAATTAAATTTCTGCTCTGTTAATTACTCAATAAAACATACTTTAAGAAAAGTAAAAATTGAAAACTCCATTTACCTTCTAGTACTGTGGAAAAATATAAGGGAAAACAAAATTCCTTCTTTTTGGAGGGATTGCTTTGGCTTTTGTTTTGAAAAGTTCCGTTGGTTTTGGCTTTGTTTATCAAGTATATCTAAGTGGTTACTTCATACTGAAATTTGGCTCAATATTGGTAAGACACATTACCTGATTTCGTGATTGGTACTTACTAACTATTGAAAGGACGACAACACTGAGATCAAATAAGTTCCAGATGCTTTTGAAGTAATGCTGTCTTAAGGCCAGCACTTTTATGACACATTCTGCTGTAAATAAAGCCACAAAAAAATAGTTGATTTTATTAAGAAGTTCCTTGGTGCCTTCCTGGTTATTTTCTGCCATCATAACAACCGTATTTAGGCAGATGAAAATCATGATGATGATGTCAAATGCTTTGTGCATTATGATATCAAACAGTAATCCCAGGAACGCATTCTGTGGAGAGAAAAAGAACTGCATTCAAATATTAATCAGTAATTTGTGCTTGGAAAAGGACCTTAAGATAATATAAATTTAACAATCAGCAACTAGAAGCATTTTTAGGGGATTTCTTTAGATCTTCAGTGAAAACTCACATTGGCATATATATATATGCGTGTGTGTGTGTGTGTGTGTGTATAAAAAATTAGGAAATACATCCAGAGTACATTGTGATGGCTCTTTTAATAGAAATACTTACTGAAGCAGATATTTTACCATAAGCAATTCAAATTAAAATGTCATAAGTAAGAAAAACTCTCAATAGTTATTATGAAAAGCCAAGCCTGGAATTAAATTTAAGAAACTAAAAGAAATAAAACACACGCTTATTTAAAAGCAAATAATTGCCATGGGGCATGTACTATTCTCTATTCATTCTCACCTGCAATAATCCAATCTCGTGGCAGAAGCAACATCATGCAACTTAAGTAACCAAGGTCATGGCATGACTATCAAATACTAATTAAGAACCTTTATAAACAGGTTGTACATTTGGGTAGGTCATAAATAGGATATAAATTTCCTAATTAATACCCACAAAGAAAGACTCTTTTAAGAAAAAGAGAGTACAATGTAAATACTACATTGAATGAGGAAGATGATGGGCTCTAAGGCAAAGTTTATTTCCCTGTGCCTGGGCTACTGAGTTCAAATATGGTCACCATCGTTGTATCTTCTGCCATGTTCTACTTAGGATGGTCTCACCAATGGTCTTGGGATGGGTTTTTGAGGTTTCTTGGATCCAAGTTTTTTTAGGGCATTATAGTACTTTTTCTGTTCCTCAGTCAAAAATAGATCCTTTCCACCTAAGTAAAGGGAAAGAATATTGTTCAGCTGAAGTTTAAGCAGTTCCCTAAATACCAGCAACTTTCTGTAAAAGAGAGTAAGTTACAGCTGTCCTGAGTGGGACCTAAGAGGGCACAGAGATAAACCGTGTCTTCACCATTTCTCCTTTTCCCCTTGATCTTTGAATAGATGTACTGGAAAGAGCTGATCTGGGTTTGACCATGGAAGTGTAGTCTAGACAGTGTTCCCAAGTCAGTTCCCTCAAGTGTGAGAACCTTTCTGAAGCTTTACAAATCTATTTCATACTTTGAAAATTGCATATGATTTGTCTATTTTTGGGGAAGGTAGAAACAGAAGAGTATTTCTGGACTAACAGGTAAATGGAAGATGATGGGACCCAGTTCTACAGGGGGTTCCTGACAATGAATTTCTTATTCCCATCTACACTCCCTGTATTACTTAGCAATCGTTTTGAACCCAGGATTCAAATCAATCCTAAAAGCACTGAGTGATCAGCATTTTGTACAACAAACACACAACGATGTTCAGTAGGGCATCTGTAATTTCAATCACTCTGGAAAGACCTCTGAAAATTCCATTTGACTTCACTATATGGAATCACATGGAAAATTCCCAAGAAGCAGCAAAGAAATGAAAGAGAAAAAAATGACAAAAAAAATGTCAATCACAGCATGTACTAAGAAAAAAG